CCCAACAGCAACACTGTAGGGATGAGCACGAAATACTATAAATTAAATGCTGAATGGCCGTTCATGCAGGGAAAGAATATATCAATATTCGCATATTCATTCAAAAACATGAAAATTCTTAATGGAGTACCCTCATTTTTTATTGAATTCCTAAAAAACAATATTTATAATGAATTTTAATAATTTTTTTGAATTTTTTTTAAGCTTTATTCTGACCGATTCACCCGATTTCCGATCCGGATCCCCAATTCGCCGATCCGGATCGGTTTTTTGGAAGCCCGATCCGGATCACCGATCCTTTTTTTAAACCATTGGTTCTGCTTGATCTATAATATTTTTGAAGATTTAAATTTTATAATTAAAGATCAAAATATATTTTAAGACTCTTACAAATATTTTTATTATTGAAATCAAATTTCTTGACACTATTTGAAGGTGGACTTTACTTTGATTTTTTAGAGCGTCGGCTCTATTCAAACTGCACCCTTAATAAAAAGCATGGTGTGATGGGTTGCAGCTGGGAATACGAGAAGTAATTTAGCTCAAGTAACCTAAACAGATAAAATTATCCAAATATATCTTGAGGGTTAAAATGGGGAAAAATGACAATTTGGATATTTTAATGTGATTCTTGAGTATGCACTAAAATGAAAATATTCTTAAAGAACCAATCATTTTATTGTAAAACTGTTGTTTTAACGATCTAGATTTTCTATGGTGGAGTTCAACAATTCTAGTGATATTTTTGGTAACTAGTTTCAAATAAAGGGATGGTATTGATATAGATGCTTGAAGGGTGTTAGTACACCTTTCAATGGTTGATTGAACCGTGTCATCAATCGCCCAAAAAGAGTTTTATATTTTATTTTTATTTTTATTTAAAAATATTCTTTATATTTGGGGTATAGATGTATTTCTATGGTGTATGAAATAAAAATAATAACAAATATTTTAAACAAAAAATTTGACCAAAATTCCTTTGAAACAAGTTAAGGTTATCTTGATGAATTTTGTATTCAAAATATTTTTCCTATGAAAAACATCTATAGCCCAAAATTTAGATAAATGTTATTTTAAACAAACAATAAAAATAAAACACGAAACTCTTTTGTAGCCGTTAGATGTTGTTATGTTTAATATGAGCTATACAAAGGGGTTGCATCCCTCGACATCAATGTTATATACAAGGAAAAAGTTTATATACAGCCGAGGCTCTAAGCAATCAAATTATAGCCCGCCTCAAAAATTTCACTAGATGAGGTTATTTTGATGGCCAAAAAATATCTTCAAATTGATCATCTCAATTTGAAGATGGATTTCAAGTTTTGGAAATAGTGAATATTGTAACACATTTGTGGACCGTCAATTTTTAAGACTTTCAAGTTTTTATATATCTGTTCAATCTACAATATTTTTGAAGCTTTTAAATTTTATAATTAAAGATGAAAATATAATTTAAAGCTATAACAAAAATTTCCAATATTGAACGTACGTTTTACTTTGATTGTTTAGAGCCTCGGCTCTATTCAAACCGCATCCTATATATAATCCAACGATTTTCAATCCATATCACCAATTTGGATGAAATTGGTTGGGGATAAACTGGTTTTGAGATGGTATGTATCCCAACCCAATTCTTTTCCCAACCCTCTAATATAGTTTTTCCATTATTTTTAGGTTTATTTAGTATTTTCTTATGTCACCTTTAAATCATCACCCTATAAACCCCTATTTTTATTTTATTTATTTTCAAATAGTATTTTGGATAATCGATTTAGAACGACCAAGACCTGATCCAGATCACTAATCCAATGATCTCACACAGATTCGTGGCTCAACAACCCACTCCACCAATCTAGGTCTTAAAACACTAGTCCACATGATGCCGATAGGAGACTTTCTATCAATAAAATATAAGGGTGTTTATGTCAATCATATTCTAGGGTACATATATTATGCTTCCGCCGGAGCATAATTTACTTATAGTCTCTCAATTAAAAGACCTAACTGGGAGGATTTTCAATCAAAATTTTGAGAACTACTTAAGAATTGATAATTATTCTTAAAAGGATTGAAATTTGAGTTTTCAAACAATTAGATTTCAACATCTAAAAATTGAATGGTCTCTATTCAATCTCGAGTCATCATTTCCTTCCATCGTATAGAGGTTGTAATTAAGAATTTTTTTTATTGAGATTAATCTATAGGTTAATGATGCCACATCCATAATTTTGGTGTTCTAAAATTATTTCTAGATGGGATTTTAGGAGATTCTACTCGCGCCCATAAGTAATCTTTCTAGACCAGGCCTCATTTATCTCTCTGCCTCTGAAAACAATTATCTCAGATCGCAAGAATAATGATGGCCCTTTTTCTTTCTCTTCTTCTGTTTTCCTCCCTAAACGTTGTCAACGCCCGACCTCCTCACTCTATCGCCGTAAAATCGCCGGGATTTTCACCTGAATCTCTCTCATGGGACGATTCCGGTCAACACTTCGTCATCGCCTCCCCCATCCATGCGACGGTCCTGACACTTTCCGACGCCGGCATCTTACAATCCCTAATTTCTGACCCTGATTTCGCCGGAAAGTCCAGCCTCTCAAGTTTAGCCGTGGACGCCAAAAACCAGCGACTCGTGGCCCTCTTTGTCAATTCATCGTCTCCCTTCTTGGCCTCTTACGATCTAAAATCCAGAAACCAACGCCTCTTTGTAGCCCCACTCGCCGGGAAACTCACCGAGAAATTTTCCGGCCAAGTCGCCGTCGACTCTTTAGGCAACGCCTACGTCACCAACCCAACAGGACATCTGATATGGAAGATAAATCCTAACGGTGAGGTCAACCTTCTATCACAATCTTATTTATTCTCCTCCCCAAAAATCTCAGAAAAAAAAGAGGAAATAGCTGAAAATTCCAAGGAAATTGCCAGGAAAATAGAGGAAATTGATGGAAAATCAGAGGCAATCGATGGAATTTATGCAATTGCATATAGTAGAAAGGGTTATTTACTGGTGGCTCATATGATAACGGGCGATATTTTTAGGGTTGATTGCGATGATGGAACGGTAAATAGGGTTTTGTTATCTAAGAATTTGGATGGAATCAAGGGTTTCGCCGTTAGACGTGATGGTGCTTTGGTGGCCGTTACGAAAACGTTCGTTTGGCTGCTGATGAGTAACGATAATTGGGCCGAGGCCGTTGTTAAAGAGCGGGTCGAGGTTAAAGGCGGTGAGATAACGGCGGTTACGTTGAGAGGAAATGAGAGGGTTTATGTGCTGAAGGTAGGTGTGGAGAGAGAGGGGTTTTTTGAAGTTGATGAGATGGTGTTTGAGGAGGAGAGAGAAGGGGAAAATATTTGGGTTTTTGTATTGCTTGGGTTGGCTTTAATTTACGTATTTTATTGGAGGTTTCAGATGGGCCAGCTCATGCAGAACATGAATAAAAAGAAGAATTGATCTTCTAGTTTATGTTTTTTTCTTTTTTGTTCTTTTAGCCAATCTCAATTAGTTGAGAAAATAGAAAAAGACTGTAGTGATGATAATTTTATATATTTTTTGTCAGATGTAATTTGAAATAATTTGGGATTCTTTATTACTCAAATTGTTGTTTAAATGCCAATGCTATTTTTGTCTTTTTTTTTTGGATATTTCGTCATTTTGGTGCAATGTTCCATCCATAGCTTTGAATTTGGATGACAATCTAGTGGGTTTTCAGCTATAGGCCCAAAGCAATCCACAACAGTGAATTTGGTGGCCTTGTTATTTCAATGAATTTTAGGGAAAATAATAAAAAAAAGCATCCAACCATTTAGCATCTCAGCTATCTTTTAATTTAATTTTGAAGGTTCCATCAAAAGACAATAATCATGAGTTGTGGTTGTAGCAGATATGTTTTAGAGGGGATATTTGACTATAATTGTGACCGTAATAATGAGTTGTGGTTGTAGTAGATATGTTTTTTAGGGAATATTTGACTATAGTTGTGGTTGATATAACAATGATGTATTTTGACAAAGAGGTGAAATGTTTAGTAATTTGTCCAATAGGTGTATTTTGATAACTTTTTTACAAATTTTATCGTCTAAAATATGCCCAAAGCCTACAGAGAGCAAGGAGAATTCAGCAAAATCGATATTCAAACTGAATTTCGCAGAAAAACATTCTTGGAAAATTTCCTGATTTTCAATAGTATCCTTAGAAGGTGCATTTCAGCCAAATTTTACAGCCTTTTACTTCCAATGTCGGGCTTAAATTTAGTTGGGATTTAATGTCAATGTTTTAATTTGGTATAAAAACCTAATTGATGGATTTGGAATGAAAGTTCTTCCTCTCTAACCAGCCAATCAAAGTAAAAAGATTTCATTGCCTTTTGCAAATGGCTGAAATTTTTTTATTCATCCAATAATCTTCCACTCTACTGAAAACCAATGAATTTGACAAGGAAACGATTTCGTTCAGAATTCAACTTCAGAATTTATGTCTGACTCTCAAAAAGAAACAAAAAGATGAAAAATCAAGATATTCTTTAGAGTGCATTTGTTATCTCAACAAGGGGCTCAGCGGGAGTGATTGAGAGCTCTTTCTTCTGGGCTCTTCCCCCTACGGATTCCTTCTCATTAGTTTTCATGGAGTCATCTTCAATTTCTGGTTTCACTAACCCAGCTTTCTCCCTGAGCTTTTGAAGCTTCTCCATAATCTTTCTCCTCATCTCGCCTTTGGAGACCCGAGCTTCAGCTGGATGAAGAAAAATGACGAAAGAGGAGAGAGAAGCAGTCGTACCCACCATTATATCTCTTCGAAAACTCAGGCTTTCATGCCCCGATCTTTGACATCTCACCTGGAATAAGCAAAATCCAAACTATTATTAGTAAAAGAAACTTTAATAACGTAGAATTAAGATGGAAGAGGTATGAAATACATACAAAATCCCTATGTTGGAGAGAGGAAAAACCAGATGCTACATGGATTTTAGCATATGCTTAAGGCTTCTAAAAATCATTCATTTCAGCATCAATAGTAACTGTAAGTTCCTCCAATAAAATTCCAAGGTTGTTTCAAGGAGTATTACATTCAAAAGTCGCATGCTCCTCTTTGCAGCTATGGAGTGAGTTGCAGCTATGGAGTGAGAAAATATGAGAACAAACCCTTTTTAAGCATTGAACAGTTGGTATTGGTAATCTAAAATGTACACTAACTAATTTCCCCTACTTGAGACCCATATATGAGCTACTTTTTAAACAAAATCATTAAATGAAGAATTTTATTGCACAAATAGTATTATATTTTGGAAAAATGTTTATATACGGTTGCAACCTTATACGATATAAGGTGCACCTCAAAAACACAGCAGAAAATAGTGTTTTGAAGTTGGAAAACCTTCCAATTGATCATCTTGACCTTTAGATATATGGATATAAAGAAAATAAGAATTTCAAGTACTAAAATTACTGAATCTTGTAACAAGTTATCAAGACCCTCTATTTTCAAGGTTTTCAAGTTCTTATAGATTTGTTCAATTTACACTGTTTATGAAATTTGAAATTTCATAATTAGGTTTGAATATAGATTTTCAAGCCATCATAAGGTTCCCGATACTGGAACTACATCTTCTAACAAAATTTAGAGGTACGCCGTACTTTTATAGTATAAGGTGGGCACCTTATACAAACCTCACCATCTTATATATTTTTTTTCCCTTAAAAACAGTTAGATTCCAGAGCATTGACAGTGGAGATATTCTTTGGGGTACACAAGAATTGGAAACACAAATGATACTTCACGGACATTGAAGATTCAACACAATGACAGCAAAAGCCAAGTTAATTATAAGTGCAAAACCAGAAACAAACTCTCTCTCTCTCTCTCTCTCTCTCTCACACACACACACACATACACTCCTCTTGGCTGCACAACATGTATTAACTATTGAGTAGCAGACCTTCATTACTCAATATAAGTTCACCTCCTAATTCATTACAAGTCTTCAGACGAAAATACCAAAGAAAGATATGCACCTTAGCCACCTGAGCATCAATAACTCTGGCCACATCACATATGAAATCATGGAAGCACCTTCTCATATTCATACTTCAAACGGATTCCCCTCACCACTGCTTTCTACCATTATGTCCGAGCAACTAAATATTTATTTATCAGGGGGCTACATGTTAATTTGAAAGCATATTAAAAATAGATAAGAACAAAGGCCCAACAATACCCAAGGAGAACATGTCGCCAAACTATCAAGCAAATGGGTAAATAAAACGCAGCCACTCTTGATCTATGTTCAATTCTATTTCTATCCGCCTAAAAATCCCCATATCCTATGATCATGCACTATTTCTTGATCTAGGCCTCAATCGAAAATTTGACATCAAGGATAACAAATGCTCCCTGTGCCCGTGGATATGAAACATGTTGGAACCTTTTTCAGACTAAAAAAAGTGCAACTGGTGAACTTGTTTAGGCTTCCAACCAAAATAGTGGATCCAAAATTTTAACAAAAACTTCCCAACAGAGGATATTTGAGTAAGTCCAGGAAGAAGTAATTTGTAGAAACTAACACCCCCCCGTCCATCAAATGAGACAATGATGAGAAGGCTCTCAAGAAAATGAAATAAACATGGGCCTTCCCAAATAACTCAAATTACCATCCACTTTCTCTGATTCCTAGAGTCTCCAAATCATATCCCTATTGAGCTAGATATAATGTTTGGGGAGGTGATAATCCTTCTGATCCAACTATTTTTTATTTTTTATTTTTTGATAAATTTTCTAACCCCACTAGCTCGTAAATCAAGTTAAATCTTCTCCAAGCAATAGCAATCCTATGGACGAAATGATATTCATATTCTCTCTTTCAACCAAGAGATAATCTCTCATGACATGATAATCCATCGGGGCCCTCAATGTAGTACTACTAACACAAAAAATGGGCATTCATCATCCCTCACTCAACTACAAAAACATTGAGTTTTGTAGTTGATTGGTCTCCTTTAATGGATTAACACATCTATACATACCTTGTCCCTTGAGATCTCTTTACCTATTCTCAGACAACAGCCCTTACTCCAATTTGTCCACTTCTTCCATCAACCTCTCTAATCCTACCCACTAACTCACTAAAAGCCCGCTTCTTCCAATCACTTTACTCCTCCATGACGAAGAAAAACCAGGCTAACTTGCAAACATCAGTTGCTCTTCTCATCAACCACAGAAAGTCAATTGGAGTGCATTACATAAAATCAGAGGGAAAACGCAAGGGCCTCCAAAATATTTACTATAATGAACCATAATGGTTTCTCCCAACGCCCCTTTTCTAACCCTCCGATCTTACCCTGACTACTTGCGTCAATGTTCATTATTTCAACTTAGAAAACCAAGCAGTGTGCCACAGTTAAAATCCAGATTTTTGGACAACTTCAAAATCCAAGTCTATGAGAATACCCAAAAAAAGTACTCACCTTCACTTGAGATCATCCAAGTGATATCATTGTGACAGAAACTGAACGAAAGGTTTCGAGCATAGTATTGTGATGTTATTTTGTCACAGGGGCTCCAGTATGACATCAGTGTAAGCAAGAATTGGCTTTCATAGAAATTATTATGTTTGGATGTATGTTCTCCCTTACCAAAAGGAAGAAACACACACACAAACAACAGGCTGTCCCTTACTAGTTAGACAATATCATTGACTAACCAACCAGAGATCAAGAAACACACACACAAACAACAGGCTGTCCCTTACTAGGTAGACAACATCATTGAGTAACTAACTAGAGATCAAGAGGAACAATATGGATACCTTCAATCTGCACATTCATATCTTGGTCTTAGGAGCAAAATATACGCATAAACAAAAGAAACACAGAATGCCTATGTAAAAGTTGAAGTCAAATTAATCATTTATATAGGATTAAGTATTACGCAATTGCTTGACATATTGCTCAAAAACGTGGCTCGGCCACGGAAGGTCTGAGTAGACTGACACAAGGCTGAGCCGAGCTGAGCCGCCCAAAGAGCCAATAATATCCAGAAAAGAAGGGGAATAATCATGATTAATCAGGTAAAATTCATGGAAAAAAACTGATAAACAACATGTAAAACCATATAAAAGATGAGGAAAAGGTTTTCAAAAAATAGACACTGGTTAAAAATCATTTTCTCATAAAAAAGAGAAAAATAATTAAAACATAAAAACTGTGTACAAATAATATTTAGTCAAAGATTAGATAAAACCACAACTAATTATAGATCTATTCTACATACCTCCAAATGGTGGGCTGTTCTGGGCTGAACTGGTGAGTCCAGAGTCCACTAGCCCAAGTCGGCAAACGAAGACATTTAGACCAGCAAATATTCATCCTACACTACAATTCTTGTACAAAACACAATGCACCATTTTTTTTAATTTTTTTTCTTCGAACTCTCTCTCTCTCACACAAACACAAAATGTGAAGGAGTTTCAGAGGTAAATCTTCTATCAAGAAACAACTCAGATCTCATACTACATAGTTGCTCGCGAATTTAACATGATGTCAAAGAATCTACCAACCATAAGCCCCAAATCTCGGATTCCCCCAAAACCAATATCAATCTAATATTTCACTCCAAACTCACATCAAACGAAGAAAACAAACTATGGTGAAAATTAAAAGGAAAGAAACCCATAATCAATAATGAAATAATGAACTCAAAGAAAGCTGAAAATTGCTTAAAAAAGAGGAAACAATGTGCCAAAAAAATGGAAGAACCAAATGGGTTCTGCTACCTTCAAGGATTCAGCTTGTACTTTATCAGAATGAATGGGGTTACCCATTTTCAGAGAAGCCATCGCCATTTTCACGTGCTCCTACGAATCTTCACAATCTGCTGTCCTGGTTTTTTCACTCGCTAACAAGCTGGTAAGGCATGGAGGTCCACTGCAGGCTAATTCAGCTATGCTTTTACAGTAATCAACAAAATTCTTCATATTGCCACCAAAAACAAGGGTAGTTTTACCAGAAATCGGAGACCACAAGCCCTGGGGTTTTAATTTTGCTTTTCCGTATTAAAAACGTTGGGGTTCTCAAAAATGGTGTTAGCTTTTTGGTATTGGAAATGCGTTCAGTGCGCTGAGCCATTTGGGTCTTGTACATGGTGCACGACCAGGGTCTTGCATCGGTGGAGCATGCTGCAAAACTACAGTTCAGTGGCGTGTATAGTGCTCCCGCGGTACCAAATGGTACATTTGTTCAGGCAGGGAATATAGGGTATGTTACGAATTAACAAAAATAAAAAAAATAAAATAGAGCGCGTATAGCATATGCTCCTTGGAGCTAAGAAGAAGCATACGATTATTTTCGAAAAAGGAAAATAAATAAATTTGAGTTCTTCAACACTTGGAACGTACCCTCCAAAGATCGGATGTCCTTTTTTCAATTTGGGGACAATTTTTTTTTTTTTTTAAAAACACATAGATTGTGAGATTTGAATTTTCTTTTTTTGAGTTGGTCCTAGGTTCGAAAGGTTACGTTCCATAAATTTGGGATCCAAAAGGCGCTCTTAGTTTGAGTTTTACCCAGAGGAGCAAATGGTAGTAGCACGATATCTTTAGGCAAAATAAGCACTGGGTGGGTCTAATTGCAAATATTTCGTTCATGTTTTATAATACTCAATAAGGACAAATAGGGTATTTATTAACTCTATTTTCTCGTGTGGTCTATCGGTGCCACACTTAAGTTCTTTCATATATATTTATTTTGATATCTAACCTTTCTTGTCTTGTCACTCATCTATCTAACTTGTCGGTATAGGTAAATATAGTTGCTAACTAAAGGCCCTTGATAGAACACTCTCCAACTGTGACTTTTTACATTTTTATCTGTTATTTTTTATTTTTATGTTGAAACTCTATTTATCATGTTATAACATATTTTTTTTTCCCTATTTCTGTTGATAAGAAGCCTTATATCAATGATTTTAAAAACGAATCCGATCACGCATCACAAAAACCTATCCGGATCGATGAATCGGCAGTCCAAATCATTGTTTTACTATGCAAAAAAATACTATGCCATTGAAAAAACATGTGCAAAAACACTAAATCGTTTAAAAACCGATCCAGATCAATGAATCAACATTTTCACTGTGGCAAAACGATTTATATAAACCTTATATACTATTATAAAGTGAAAATATGGGCAACCTTGACCCATTCCATAATTCCATTTTTTGTTGCGTTGGACTTAAGAAGCGGTTGGTAGAGGCCTCAAAACGCATCAAATGGCGTGGGCTCCAATCCTAAGCATATTTCAAACTAATTCTTACGAGAACCTGATGAGCTAGGCCGAACACATTTGTCTTACATAACATCCTTCTAGGTTAAAATAGGGCCAAGGCTTTACCAAAAAAAAAAGAAAGTAAATCTCACTTTAATGTTCATCGATTATTATAATTATGTTAGAAAATTTTAAAGTGATTATATCGACCTTGATTATTATAGTCGTAAAATAAAATTATGATCTTTAGGCTTAAAATTAGCGTATATTGTAACACGTTATCTAGACTGTGTATTTTCATGCTCTCACGTATCCATAAGATCTGTTCCATTTTTTGAGCTATAAAATTTCATAATCAGAAGTGGAAACAAATTTGATAGGCATCTTAGGTATTTCCCATTATCAAAGTATTTTCCAAACAAGACTTCGAAGTGAGGCTTTACTTGCCTTATAGAAATTTCATTCCATCTTAGGGATTTCCCATTATCGAAGTATTTTCCAAACAATACTTGGAGGTGAGGCTTTACATGCATTATAGAAATTGCATTCCTAAGATAGGCTAAACAAAGTCAGGCAAATTTTTTTAATAAATTGATTAGTTGGATAAGCTAAGCAATTGGGCAATTATTTTATATAAATTTCATCTTTTAAAAGTATAATTCTTATTGTTTTTACTTTTAAACCTGATCCAAGCAGTTCGATATGTGGCCACATTGGTTTTACCAAACTAGATCTCTCACTAATATAATTCCTAGTCTGATTCCGGTAACACCCTCCACAATTACTTATGAATAAAACTTTTCCTTATTGCAGTTTCACAACATTGCGTGTAAAACCAGGGTTTAAAAACGATGATCTAGATCGGGAATTGGTGGGCCCGGTACGGTCCACACCATATATCAAGAACCGGTTGATTCTCTAACATAATCAGTTAACTGTATAAGGGAATCGATCGATCATGCCCCGCCATTATTTTTATTATTTTTCAATTGTACTCCATTTTTCTTCACATGGGCAGCAAGCCATTTGCCAAATGCATTAGTTGCCAATTTGCATTAAATACCACAAAATTAGTGTTAACAAAGAGTGAGAGTCCAAAGACTTTCACCAAGGAACCTACAAACTACCAACTGCCATATTAGAGCCAAATAAATCAATCCCTTTCTTTCCAAATTAGCAGACATGATTTTATTATTTTATATAAGAGTTTAATTTCAAAGTGGCCATAATACCCCCGTTAAATTTTGTAATCTATCCATTAGTTACAATGTAAAATTTACAATAGAAGAAATAAAGACAAAGGCGAGAGAGAAGAAGAATCAACAAGCCATATATGTGGTTCGGCAATAGTGCCCACGTCCACAGATGATAAACCAAGATCTCATTCATAGAGATTACTTTGGTTTACCAGAGATTTATAGAGTTACAACTCTTATTTTTTAAGAAACAAGTCTCATTACAATTATAATATCTCAAAATAAGAAACACAATAAAATCAATATATATCCTCAATATTTGATAACTGTTAATCAATATATATCCTCAATATTTGATACCTGTCAACATACAAGTACTATTCACATTTAATTATAGAGAAGAATTGCAAAATAAGGGTTTGGATTTGGAGGATGACTACATATGGAAAGTCTTGCTTAGAAGCCTTTCTGTTGCTTTCCTTGCTATCAAAGAATATTGCAGCCAAGATAAGGCCCTTCACATTTGTAAGAGTTTGGTAAATTGGACCACTGATTTATTTTATAAGGCCAAAGTGGTCACAGTTGTGTTTTTATATCTACAAGATTGGTTCTCACTTCAAAGGAATAGACCCACTGGTTCTCCTTAGTCTGTGATATAAAAGAAAACTTGTAAGGCTCATAATGTTGCAAGAAACATGCTTGAATGGCAAAGCTTCTGTCTTATGAAGGCCTTTCCAAAATATCTTCGGCGTGTTATTCGGGTAATGGAAGCTTACTCTTCCTACTATGTTGTGTCTTTGCAATGGGTTCCATGGTAATGGCATTATGTGCCTTCGGTTCTCGTTCTCTAAGGAATGAAAGAGCAAGCCACAGTATGCCCATTTCTCCAACAAGAGAGAATTTTCACAGGAGGGAGGCAGTGGGTGAGGGAGATTCGTCTATATGGAAGAAGAGGATTTTGATCGGAAATCGGTGCAAGCCACTCGAATTTTCCGGAGCCATAATTTATGACTCGGATGGAAATCGCTTGCCAAAATTCCCTCCCAAGTCTCCTCGAAGACTTTTTCCGGTTCCTTGAGGTCTGTTCATTCTTCAAGAGTCTCTCTCTCTCTGAGACTGAAGCATGTCTCTCTCTCTTTCAAGAGCTCCAACAAGAGAGCATTTGTTATGATACAACATGCTTCTGATTATGTATCTCATGCCCCATGAAGAATAACATGAAAGTGAACTTTTACAAAAAAAAATAAAATCAAGTTCCCATAAACTGTCACTGAAATGAACAATGCAAGGCTTGAACTTTAAAATCTCACAAAACAAATCCAAATGGGAAGGGGGATTATGAAGCGGTAAATGAATGCTTCTTGACAATGTTCAAATAAAAGGTATTAATGTCACGCCATCCGGGGCCTCGTTCAAATAACAGACTTATCCAAGAAAGTGACATACATCAGCCACAATATCAATATATAACGCTCACCTGAGTTAACCAATATTTTTAAGCGAAATTTATGTATAGATCGGGTTTTTTTTTGCCGTTATAATGGTGTGGCTCGAAAATAGTATGTTATTACTTAGAAAGATGCATCCATAAATTTTTAAATTTTTTGTCAAGTTTGCCCCATCGCTTGGTTTAGCAAAAAAAAAAAAAACAGAAGGCGGTTTGGTGTTCAAATCATCGGACCATATTATTTACTTAAAAAAAAAGAACATCTGATGGCTCGAACATCGAACCACTTGTTGTACTAAAAAAAATGAACAAAAGGTCGTCCGATGGTTCGAACATCGGACCTCTTGTTTTACTAAAAAAATTCAACAAAAAGCGGTATGATGGTTCGAACATCGGCCCGTTCGTTTTACTAAAAAATCCAACTGACTATTTCTATAAAATCGCATAATTTCTGGTTTTCCTTGGGGCTGAATTGTGGATTTTTTACCTGGGTTTTTACCAGATCTTCTGTTCTGGCTACTGTAATCGTGCATTGGTAGCAATGGTAGTCTCCGGAGCGGTTACTCCTGGCCAGGTATCTGAATTGGTGTTGGCATCTATTATGCTTTGTTGCTGCTTCTGCTTCTGCGTAATTTAGAGAGAGAGAGAGATTGGGGATCTAGCTGTTATTCATTTCTGAAGCTCTTGATGGGTGGACTAATGGGATTTGTTCTTCATTTATGAAGCTCTTGATGGGTAGACTAATGGGATTTATCACTATAACAATAGGTTTTGCTTATTTCCTCTGTATATGCACAAATAATCTTTGTTCTTTTCTTTTATACTACAATAATGGGTTTTGCTTATTTCCTCTGTATACGCACATAGAGTCTTTGTTCTTTTCTTTTATGTAAAATCGACCTGTAAACCCAAACTAGGCGAGATAGGAGATAGCGAGATTTTTGGAAGGGGGAGAGAGAGGGCCGAGAGGAAGCAAAGGGCAAAGGGAGAAGAGAGCAAAGTTTGCGAAGGGGTAAATAAAGCGGTTTCATAGTTCAAACATCGGATCGGAGGCAAACTTGATAAAAAATAAAATGAAATAAACAATCGTGGAGAAGTCTTTCTAAATAATAACAGGTTATTTTCGGGTCATACCGTTATAAAGGTAAAAAAACTTGGTTTGTACGTAAATTTTCCTATTTTTAAAGGTGGCAACCGGGCGGTCCAACG